AGTAGACCAAGACTCCAAGGATGAGAAGGAGCCAGCCAAAAGGGGGTGAGGAGAGGCCTCTGGCAGAGGGGGCAACATTGGCAGAAGGGACTTTGGTCTGGTTGACCATGAGCACAGGAGACCAAGACCTCAGAGTGATGTCCACAGTTAGTTCTAGGAGGCCTTCCAGAAAGCGCATGTGGAAGGAGCCTGATTCAGAGGGGCCAGCTCTGTGACCTGCAGTGAGAACTTCCCCTGAGCCTGTTTTCTCTGGGAAATGAGGACAGTGAAATTAGCTGCACAGGACTCCACCAGACTCTGTAGGGACCTCAGTGGTGGCATAGAAGTCACCCAATCTCTGCTTTGAGATCTGATGGTTTAAAACCCAGATCTGTCCTCACAGGCCATGCAACTTCAATTTATTTCATTTCTCTAAACTCGAGTAATGGCAGTAAAAGTAGTACTCATTGGTTGTTACAGGATACAAGTAAATGTATGGCCAAAGGTATAGGTCAGTGGTGAGGCCCAGGGTTCAGTCTCCAGCACCAGAAGAAACCATGTAGAGTGCTTAGCACTTGGTACTCAGCAGCAGATAAGAGTTGCTCTCACAGACTGTTGTGTAGGGGTAAAGAAGCGGATCAGGGGTAGAAACCTTGACAAGCATGAGCAATGGGGTGGGTGCCATTCCTGGCACAGGAAAAAAAGACAAAGACAAATAAATGAACATTACATTTCTCATGGACCAGGCTCTGTGTTAGACCCTGAACATGGAGATGGGACAAAACTAATAAGGTCCCTTTTCTGGTGGTGATCACACAAGCCACTCTCAAGAACGAACCCTGGCGCCAGCTGGACATGACCTCCAGACAGTGGTTGAGAGGGTCTGTGGACCGCCACCTTCCCTTTTTCCATGCCACAGCTGTCTAGTCTCTTTCCCTAGGTGTTGAGGGCATGCCCTGATTTACTTCATCCTCTAACTTATTTCTTCAAGGGTGTGGAACTCCAGAAGCTCCTCGAAGCTGGAGACTTCATCTGTCAAGCCCTGAACAGAAAAACCAGCTCCAAAGTGGCACAGGCCACCTGCAAACTCTGAGCTCTTGTTCACCCAAGACCTGGGACTGTGGGAGGTGGGCACGCATAAATGATTCCTTGATGGGGGAAATGAATGAGAACAAATGAGCAGGTATCACCAAGGTCCTTCTAGACAGAAAGGGCTGGAGCTGCCAGGCCTGGGGGTGACTGAGTGACCTGGGAGCCCAGAAGTCTCCCTCCTCTGTGGACCAGCTCTAAAGAGCTGAGTACCTGAGCATTTGCCTGGGATGGTCCTGGGTCTCCTGGGCGAATCTGCTAGCTAACAGAGCTGATGCCCACCCTGCCATGACTGTGGGTCCTGTGCTCTCCACAGAGAACAGGGAGCAGTTTTCCCCCAAGCCAGCAGAGCATTTGGTGGGGATTGATCTGTGGTGGCCGTCTGCCAACTCCAGCATCTCTGGGAAATCACTCTGTACATGATTTTTGAAAACAGCTTATGTAATTAAAGATTAAATTTTCTAATATCCAATCACGCAAATGTGTGTTTATGAGTGGGGGAATAAAATCATTCTGCTCGGGAGGCAGAGCCAGGCGGATCTCTGTGAGTTCGAGGCCAGCCTGGTCTCCAAAGCGAGTTCCAGGAAAGGTGCAAAGCTACACAGAGAAACCCTGTCTCGAAAAACCAAAAAAAAAAAAAAAAAAAAAAAAAAAAAAAAAAAATCATTCTGAGGGAAGACTTTGACTAGTTCATCTCTGGATTTCTTCCATCTCCACACTGAAGGGAGATCCTAATTAGTCTTTTTTTTTTTTTTTTTTTTTTTTTTTTTTTTTTTTTGGTTTTTCGAGACGGGGTTTCTCTGTGTAGCTTTGCGCCTTTTCCTGGAACTCACTTGGTAGCCCAGGCTGGCCTCGAACTCACAGAGATCCGCCTGCCTCTGCCTCCCGAGTGCTGGGATTAAAGGCGTGCGCCACCACCGCCTGGCTCTAATTAGTCTTAATAAATAAAAACCTGGAGTCAGATATCAAGGGGGAAAGCTGAAAGTTCAGAGAAGCAGAGCAGCAGCCGCCAAAAACTTCTTACCTCTACAAAATCTCAGACCGAATCCAGTGGGATCCCGTCTCTAGGAATCCTCAGACTGAATGGACTCTCCTGTCTCTACCTGCCTTATATTCCTGTCTCAACCTCCCGATGCTGGGATTAAAGGTGTGAGCCAATCTCGTGTAGCCCAGGGTGGCCTTGAACTCCTTAACTTCCTGCTTCCTCCAAGTGCTGCGATTAAAGGAGTGTGCCACCACTGCCTGGCTTCTATGGTTAACTAGTAGCTAGCTCTGCCCTCTGATCCCCAGGCAAGCTTTGTCAGAACACAAAATATCATACAATACCACACTGAGCCCCCAGTTCAGTGATTGGAAATCATGGCTGTGAGTTAATTCCTGGGACCAGCATGGTGGCTGGCCAGGACACCCAAGGAGTTGCTTCTGAGGCTGTGTTCCCAGAGCAGTGAGACAGGTTCTTACTGGCCTGGTATTAGCCAGGTAGGCTGGCTAACTGGCCAGTGAGCCCCTAGGAATTCACCTGTCCCTGCTTCCCTAGGATGACAATGTCCAGCTTGACTTTTTATTTTTTAAAGATTTATTTATTGTGTATACAGTGTTCTGCCTGCATGTATGCCTGCACGCCAGAAGAGGGCACCAGATCCCATTGTAGATAGTTGTGAACCATCATGTGGTTGCTGGGAATTGAACTCAGGACCTCTGGAAGAGCATGCTCTTAACCTGAGCCATCTCTCCAGTCCCAGCTTGACTTAAAAAACAAAAACAAGCGGGGGTAGGGGGGTGGGCCACACGGCTTTGAATCCCAGCACTCGGGAGGCAGAGCCAGGCAGATCTCTGTGAGTTCAAGGCCAGCCTGGTCTATAGAGCGAGATATGGGACAGGCACCAAAACTACACAGAGAACCCCCCCCAAAAAAAAACCCCACTTTTTTTTCATATGAGTTCTGGGTACCCAACTCAAACCCTCATAGACTTGCAGACTTCATAAGCCCTACGTTGGTTTTGATACTGCCCTTGAACTCAGCAACTCTGCTTCTGCCTCCAAAGTTCTGGGATTACAAGCAGGAGCCAACATGCCTGGCTTCTTGCTTCTTACTTTTTAAAAATTATTTTTAGGGTTTTGTTGTTGTTACTTGAGACAGGGTTTCTCTGTGTAGCCCTGGCTGTCCTAGAACTCACTCTGTAGACCAGGCTGGCCTTGAGCTCCCAGAGATCCATCTACCTCTGCCTCTCGAATGCTGGAATTAAAGGTAAGTACTGACACCACCACCAGGCTTTTTTAAAAATAATTTTTATTTATTTTTAATTTTATATGCATTGTTATGTTGCTTGCATGTGTGTCTGTGTGAGGGTGTTAGATCCCCTGGAACTGGAGTTACAGTTGTGAGCTGCCATGTGGCTGCTGGGAACTGAAACATGGTTCTCTGGAAGAGCAGCCAAAGCTTTTAACCACTGAATCATCTCTCCAGCCCCTAGGGTTTATTTTTAATTATGTATACACACACACACACACACACAAATATACACACGTGTGTATGGGTATGTGCATATGTAAGTACAAGGACTGAAGAGCCCAGAAGATGTTAGGGATCACCTGGAGCTGTCTGTACAGACATTGTGAGCCATGCAGGCTAAGAACAGAACTTCCGTCCTCAGCAAAAGTAGCACCCGCACCAGCTTTAACTAACCTTCGTGAAACTTTTCCTCCCCACTTTAAAAAAAATTGTGTCTGTGTGGGTGACTCAGGAGCCCCAAGACAGAGTGGCTGTAGATTCCCGGGAGCTGCACTTTTTGCAGATGATTGTGAAGAGTAACAAGTAACTGATTCGCTATCTTCCAGCTCCGCCTCTTTTTTTTTTTAAGTTTTTGGGGTGTGTTTTTTTTGTTTGTTTGTTTTGTTTTGTTTTTTTGTTTTTTGGTTTTTTCGAGACAGGGTTTCTCTGTGTAGTTTTGGTGCCTGTCCTGGATCTCACTCTGTAGACCAGGCTGGCCTCGAACTCACAGAGATCCGCCTGCCTCTGCCTCCCGAGGTTTTGGGGTTCTTTTGAGACAGGTTCTCACTATTCACCCATGGCTGGCCTGGAACCCACTAGGTAGATCACGTTGTCCTAAAACTCACAGAAATCCGCCTGCCTCTGCCTCCTAAGTGCTGGGATTGAAGGCCTGTGCCATCAAGAAAGATATATTTTTATTTATGTTTATGTGAGAGAATGTCAGGTATGTGCAGGAAGCCATGGAGGCCAGAAGCAGGCATGGGATCCCTTGGAATGATAGGGAGTATGTGGGTGCTGGGAAAAGGACTCAGATCCTCTGCAGTAGCAGCAAGTGCTCTTAGCCATCTTCCAGAGGCAAAACTGTGTCTTGAATTGCTTTTAGGGTTTGCAGGTGCAGACACAATTTTAGGTGAGGTTGGGAGGCAGTGGCTCAGTGATGGGCATAGCAATTGCTACTAAGAATTTAAAGGTTCCTTCCCGCTCCAGGGTTTTTTTTTTCCCAAAGTAGACTTGGATCCAGCTCGCAGCCCGACGAAGGGTTTGACATATGGGGGGAAACTCGGAAGCCAGCGGCTCAGAGTAGAGCGGGGCGCGATCATTCGGGGTGCAGCTGCCATGGATGGAGACTAGAAAGGCCACCGTCCTGGCACTGTTTCTCCTCCACAGCCCGGGACTCACCGGATGGCGTCCGCGCCGCGCCCCTCATTTCCGCCCTCGATGGAAACGCACTGCGCAGTCGCCTAAAGCCTGTGCAGGCCTTTTGTCCTTCCAGAGCCGCCGTAGATCAGGTAACCCGGTAGACACGTTTCCTGGAGGGCGTGAAGGGGGTGTGGCCAGACTGGGCTGTCAGCTCTTAAAGGGGCCGCCGCGCTGGTCGCGGGAGGCGGCACCTGGAGCCAGCGCGGGATCCTCAGCAGGTTTGGCTAGCATGAAGGGTTTAGTGGGCTCGGAGGGGCCTGTGGTTGGCGGGGAGCGAAGGAGTTCCAAGAGGGTCTGTCCGTGTTCGAGGCAGGGCCGGATCCCCCCCCAATTCTGCTCGAGTTTCCCGCGGCGGTGGCGGGGGGCCACCCGAGCCCATTCATTCCAGGCCTGGCTCCCTGCTCGCGCTCCCAGCTCAGGACCAAAGTCCGGCGCTAAGCTGGGCCGCGCCTGGGCTCTTGGTGCCCAGCGCCCGTCCTCGCCCCTCCATTGTACAGACTGGGAAAACTGAGGAGGGGACAACTGACAAGGTCACCCGCCCAGGTCTGGAGCAGAGCGGCCTCAGGGCAGCCTTTCTGCCTCCGGGGCCCCGCGGTGACCGCTTCACTGCGTCTGTACGCAGTGCGGGAGCAGCGGGGAGCAGCGGGGAGAAGGCTAGGGGATCCCACCCAGCCCAGTTCTGGCTGCTGTGTGACCTCAGGCAGACTGACTCTGGGCTGACCCTAGTACCAAGTGCTAGTGGAAACAACCTGCCTCCTCTAGATGTGGGGAAAACTCGGTGGGGAGGGGACGCACAAGTGCGGAGCAGCGAGTCTGGCATGCAGTGGGCGCCCAGTCCAGTGAGTTGCAGCGGAGTAACCCCAGCAGCGACTTGAGGCAGCCCGGAGAAAGAGGGCAACAGGCCAGATCTCGAGAATGAAAGGCCTCAGTGTGTGGCTTTCCTTTCTGTCCGCCCAGTAGTTTGCTCAGGGCGGGGATGCACACCTGGCAGTGAGTGCCGGCCAAATCCACGTCGACACCGGCCCACTCCCTGCTGCCCCAAGTTGGGCGGGATCTGTTGCCTCAAGCCAGGAGTGACCCAGCTGTGCCAAAACTGAGCTATTGGCTGCCCCAGGGTGGAGAAGCCCTATCCACTCCAGGGCAGCTGGTACTGCAGCCTCCCAGCCAGGCTCAGCCTCCCTGGCTCAGGACCCCACCCTTGAAGTCATTTACTGTATTTTCTGCTTCCTCCCAATTGACCTTCCGGGGAGGGTTGCTAGAGAACTAGACATTAGTCACCAAACCCAGGAACCTTTCACTCCTGGGAGAAGGCCTGAGTTGATAGAGACAAACCCCTGTTTCAAATTCTAGCATCCCAATCCTGAAGCGGTGTTCTCTTCTGCCCAGGACTGCCCATTTTCCAGACAAGGAGGCAGGAAGGTTGGGTTCTCAAAAATCCCATCTTCCCACCCCTATATCAGTGGGAACTAGACAATATGGTGTGCCTGACTCTTACATATACAGGTGGCAGACCTTTTTTTTTTGTTTGTTTGTTTTTTTGTTTTTGTTTTTTGTTTTTCGAGACAGGGTTTCTCTGTGTAGCTTTGCGCCTCTCCTGGAACTCACGTGGTAGTCCAGGCTGGCCTCGAACTCACAGAGATCCGCCTGGCTCTGCCTCCCAAGTGCTGGGATTAAAGGCGTGTGCCACCACTGCCCGGCTCAGGTGGCAGACCTTTAAATCACCTCACTGGGCCCTCCTAATACATGGTATGTGTACAGTCACAGAGGTGGAAGCTATGGCCTACAGAGGGTAGGAATGCTTCAGCCCCTATAGCCAGAAAGTGATAGTTATCCAGTCAGACCCAGGGCTGACCCTGGAGCCCCTCCTTAAACTAGGGCCCACAACTGCAGCCTCCGAGATGAGGTTAAGGGACCAGCATCCCTGAGGGAGGCCCTGAGCAGACACCTTTAGCCACCTCTGAAACTCTGTGTCCTCTAACCAGGCACCATGGCAGAGAAGGTGCTGGTCACAGGTGGGGCTGGCTACATCGGCAGCCACACAGTACTGGAGCTGCTGGAGGCTGGCTACTCACCCGTGGTCATCGACAACTTCCATAATGCCATTCGTGGTGAGTGAGCTGGATGGGAAGCAGTGAGTGGTTTCTGGAGGGGTTTTATCCAGGACTCCATCTTCTAATGCTGATAGCCCCACTGCCCCACCAGGAGGGGACTCCATGCCCGAGAGCCTGCGGCGGGTCCAGGAACTGACAGGCCGCTCTGTGGAGTTTGAGGAGATGGACATCTTGGACCAGGCAGCCCTACAGCAACTCTTTAAGAAGGTGGGTGTGGGGGCTGGAGAGATGGCTCAGAGGTTAAGAGCACTGGCTGATCTTCCAGAGGTCCTGAGTTCAATTCCAGCACCCACATGGTAGCTCACAGCCATCTATAGTGGAATCTGATGCCCCCTTCTGGCATGAAGGTATGCATGCAGAACACTCATACATAAAATATAAATAAAGTAAAATAAAAAGAAGGTGGGTGCTAGCTGGATATGGTGGAACATGCCTTTAAACCCAGCACTTGGGAGGCAAAGGCAGGCGGATCATTTGTGAGTTTGGGGCCAGCCTGGTCTACATCACAAGTTCCAGGGTAGCCAGGGCTACATAGAGAGACCTTGTCTCAAAACAAAGAAGGTGGGTGCTGCTTGGCAGGTAGGAGGAGCCAAGTTCTGAGGCTGCAGAGCCGCCTCTGACCGGTGCTTTACCCATGCAGCACAGCTTTAAGGCCGTCATCCACTTTGCTGGGCTGAAGGCCGTGGGCGAGTCAGTGCAGAAGCCTCTGGATTATTACAGAGTTAACCTAACAGGGACCATCCAGCTCTTGGAGGTAAGAGGAATGGGACACAGACCCCAGCTGGGCCCCAGGCGCTCTGGCAGGCCAGCCACAGAATGGGCCTGTGTGGGAGAACCAGACACGACCCAAGCTGTATTATCTTGGACACATGCCTCTCTTTACCTCCCAGCCTGTTTCCCTCTCTGTAACTGATCGTGCCCATCGCCTCAGGCCCGCCCTCCTAGGGTGGAGTAACAAGTGGGACTAATTCGTGAGGTACAGGCCACTGACCCTCCCCTCCACGGCCAGATCATGAGGGCCCACGGGGTGAAGAATCTGGTGTTCAGCAGCTCAGCCACCGTGTACGGGAACCCCCAGTACCTGCCTCTGGACGAGGCCCACCCCACTGGGGGCTGTACCAACCCCTATGGAAAGTCCAAGTTCTTCATCGAGGAGATGATCCGGGACCTGTGCCGGGCGGACACGGTGAGGACCTCTTGCCCCAGATTTCACCCCATCCGCTTTGAGCCCAGGATTGGGACCCTGGGCACTCTTAGCAGAAGGAGACAGAGGCTCAGTGGCAATATCCTGCTTAAGGGCACAGCAAATGGCACGCAAGTGCCATCCCTCGCTCATTCATAGAGAGCACGGGACGGACATGGGCGAGGTAGACGGCTGTGGATTGAGTGGGACTCCCGGCGGCGGCGTGCGCCCCGGCCCCATTGTCTGACCCGCACCACACAGGCCTGGAACGCGGTGCTGCTTCGGTACTTCAACCCCACGGGCGCCCATGCCTCCGGCCGCATTGGCGAGGATCCCCAGGGCATCCCCAACAACCTCATGCCCTATGTCTCCCAGGTAGGGGGATAGTCCTAGGGTGCCTGGAGTACCACTGGTACCAGGCTCTTGAGGAAGCTGACCTGACCTCTGCCGTAGGTGGCAATTGGGCGACGAGAGGCCCTGAATGTCTTTGGTGACGACTATGCTACGGAGGATGGGACAGGTGAGCCTAAGAGTCAGAGAAAGGAGGGGGACCGAGGGGGACCAACTTCCCATCTAACCACTTCCTCTACAGGGGTAAGGGATTACATTCATGTGGTGGATCTGGCCAAGGGCCACATAGCAGCCTTGAAGAAGCTGAAGGAGCAATGTGGTTGCCGGGTAGGAAGCCAGGGAGGGAAAGGGTTGGAATCCGGGGCAAATGTGCCATGGGGGGTGGACAAGCCATCCCTTTCAACATCCTGTACTCCCGGGCAGACCTACAACCTGGGCACAGGGACAGGCTACTCCGTCCTGCAGATGGTCCAAGCCATGGAGAAGGCTTCAGGGAAGAAGGTAGGCCCGCCATGCAGTAGGCAGCCCAGCATGCCCTTCTCCAGCCATCTGGAACTTCAGTGCCTGTGACACAGCCCTTGCTTGCGGTTCCTAAGGCCCAGGGCCTGCTCAGCTGGTACCCACTATCTCCCTTACAGATCCCCTACAAGGTGGTGGCCCGGCGGGAAGGGGACGTGGCAGCCTGTTACGCCAACCCCAGCCTGGCCCATGAGGAGCTGGGCTGGACAGCAGCCTTGGGGCTGGACAGGATGTGTGAGTGTCTGCCTAAGCTGGAAGAGAGATGAACTGTCTATAGGGGAACTCCGCTCTGGGCTGTCCTCAGGCAAGCTCTGACCACCCATGTCTGCACAGGTGAAGATCTATGGCGCTGGCAGAGGCAGAACCCTTCAGGCTTTGGAGCACAGGCCTGAGGACCTCCTTACCATGGACCAGAAAAGGAAGAGGAGCAGCTGCCTGCTCTCCAGCCTCCACAGGACCCTGTACCCTCATGCTCTGGGGCCAAGCTGAGGCCACCCTACCTCAAATGCCAGCTGCCTGTTCAGCCCTCCAGGCAGGAAACTCTGTCTGGCTCCACTAACCAGGAAGAAGCTGGGTCTTTCCTGCTATCTCCCCCAGGGTCCAGGAGCTCATGGGACCCCTAGAGCCTGTGAGGGCCAGGGGGTCTGGGACCATAGCCTCCCCCAGGCACAACTTACACTGCTGTGATTGAGCTTCCCAAAGTATTTAAAATAAAAATGTTTTCTTATCCTGGGGCATTCTCACAGATGGCCACTCTGCACTACATCAGGCAGGCCTGAGAGTTGAGGAAGCAATCTCTTTAATTTTATCGGAATCCAGGACAAAACAAGAAAAACACCCAAAACCACATGGAGACAGAAGACAAGACACAACCCCCCCACACACCCCCCTGCCCTAGAGTGGGGACATAGTGAGGGTGAGATGGCAGGGGGCAGGAGGCCCTTGAACCTCAATCCAGCCCTGCAGGCTCCAGGCCTGCAGGGAAGGGCCATGGGGAGGCAGGGCCCAGCCCCCCTGGTGGCGGGGCTGAGGGGAGGCCCTGAGGGACTCTACCTCCTCGCTGGCTTGCCTGCCCAGGAGCAGGCAGCCCACAGTAGCAAGGGCCCCGGGCCATGGACACATTCGTGACAGAAGCAGCTGCAGTGAGGCAGGAGAGACGCGATTATCCAGGCAGAATCGTTGGGGTGGGGGGCCCATGAGGGCCCCACGGGCCAAACCCTGAGGTCGCAGGAGGGGGCCCAAAGCGGGGCTAGTGAGTGAGGTCCTGAGTGAGTGGGTCAGCAGCTGGGCCCCTTTCTCCCACTGCCACAGCCCCTCCAATACTGCTGCTGGGGCCCGCCTCTGGGGAAGTGGGTAAGAAAGCAGCCCACCCCTGCTGCTGACTTCCAGATGGCCGAGGCCAGCAGGAAGGCCTGGCCAGCCTCAGCCACCTGCCCCAGAGGCCAGTGGGAAGAGGACAGGGTGGGAAGAGAAGGGACAGGGGTTCGACCGGCTCAGATCCAAGATGGTGCGGTGATTGTTTGCGGGGTCCCTCGTGAGCTGGGGGACCGCGATGGGAGCCAGCAACTAGTTAGACTGGAGGCAGAAGCTTCTCCAGAAATTCCTTTACAGCTGCCATCTCCTGGGATAAGGGGAGACTGTGAGCTTCCTCGCTGCAGGGAGGAGGGAGAGCATAGGAGTAGGGCCATCCCCACTAACCTGAGGACAGGAGCTGTGCATGACACCTGGGTAGGTCTTGAACTGGACCCTGGCAGGTGTGACAACAGACCGGAGCTTCTCAGCTGTCAGGGCCCCAAACCGAACGGGTACCATGGGATCCAGCTCCCCATGGCACTGAAGGATGGCCAGGTCCTTGGCACTGCCATTGGCTGCCTGTGGGCCAGAAAGAATTTCCAAGGCAAGACCAGTGCCACAGGCAGCGCAGTGCCCAAGCCCCAGGGTCCCTCAGGAGAGGAGAGGCTTACAGGGATCCTCACCTGGGGGAAGTTCCGATGCAGAGGCAGCCAACAGCTCAATGCCACGATGCCAGCCAGAGGGTGGGGGCAGGTAAGAGCTGTATAGAGGGACAGGGCCCCGCCCTGGGGAGAGGAGAAGGAAAGTCAGGAGAGAACAGCTCAGACACCCAGCCCCTCCCCTCACACCCTCCTCACCTGCGAAAAGCCACCCAGGACGATTCGATTGGCAGGGATTCCATTCTTCATCTCATGTTCAATCAAAGCCTTGACTGGGGGTGGGGGAAGGGTATGACTGGGTGGAGGAAACTGCTGGAGGCTTGAAGGGAGCAAGTGGGCACTGCCCAGTGCTTTGGGAAGGGGGAGGTGGGGAGGGAGCGGCTGGGGGCTTACTGTTCTCTGCCGCCTTCTTGATACCAACTTCATCCTCTGGGGCGTCTGGACTCAGCCCCATCAGGTCAAACCTGGGCAGGCAGAGGCAGCAGTTTTTGGAACACCTGGCCAGCCCCTGTAGCTCCCTCAGTTCCCGTCTCTTTCCTGTCCCAAACTCACCAGGAAGGCATCACCATCTTCATGTTGAGCGTCACAGGGATCCTGGGCCTGTGGAGGGGTGGCCAGGTCTCAGGAGGGCTAAAGCATCAGTAGAGAGCCTGGGAATGGGCAGAACTGCCCTTGGGGGCCCCTCCCAGCAGGCAGGGCCTGTGTTTCAAGTGTTGCCAGGCAACCTGCCACGTGGGGCTGGAGGCTGGGGTTGGGGCATCAGCGGGGAGGATGGAGAAGCAGAGACTAACACCCGGTGATGGGGTCCAGCTCAGAGGGTGAGTACTCGGGAAAGGCTCTTTTCAGGAGGTCTTGGGTCTAGGAAGCCTTGGGGGTGAAGGCAGGAACCGGAGCCCATTCCTAGGGCCCTAGGGAGGTAAGACTGGACAAGGCCTGACTGCTTTAAGCCCAAGCCCCAGGAGGCAGCTGATGAAAAGAGCAGGCCTAGGACTAGAGGACCCCCGCCAGCCCCTCTCTAGCTGGGTGACACTCACGCATGGGGACAGATGTACTTGACATGAGGAAGCCGGATGGTGGAGAGGGCGTCAGCCCAGCTGTGCCTGTGGGAGGGAAGAAGAGGCACCGGTATAGGAAGGATTGAGAGGGACAATGGCCCTCCATCCCCACCTGATAAAGGAGCACCTCACCCCTCAGCTCACTCACCCTGTGTCTCCAAGTCCATGTAAAAATATAACCTAGGAAAAAGGCAAAAATGGGAATGGGAAGGACCCCTTTAGATCTTCCAACTCCAGCTCACCCCTCCCCCAGGCCCTAGACCTGGGGGAGTCAAGGTGGGAGTCAACAGATTATTAACCCCCTCCTAGCTTCAGGCTAGTCCCTTCTCATACTGCCACCTCCATGTTTCCCACACTGCCTACATCCAGTTACCACCCCACAAGTCTGGCCCAGGGGTCCCTTACCGCGGCCGTTTCCCGCTCAGCTCCAGACACGGTGGCAGCGTCGGTGAGCAGGGGCACAGACATGGTGTTACCACACATACACTGCAGGACTCCCTGCAGGCTGGGCCTGTGCAAGGGAAGGCGGTAGGTCAAGAGCAAAGCCAGGCCAGAGAAACCTGGCTTAAGAAGTCCACCCAGGCCATCAGCTCTACACATCACCAGGGTTTGATTCTGAGCTGAGAGAAAACACAGGCAAAGAGAAGTCTGGGGCAGAGGGACAGAGAGTTGGCCCTTGCCAGGGGGTGGGAGCACATGCCTTTAATCCCCGCACTCGGGAGGCAGAGGCAGGCGAATCTCTGAGTTCGAGGTCAGCCTGGTCTACAGAGTGAGTTCCAGGACAGCCAGGGCTACACAGAGATACCCTGTCATGAAAAACCAAAAAAGAAAGTTGGTCCCATCCCAAAGTTGAGAAGCAGAGGCAGCCATCCTCATGGTCTAGAACTCACATCCCTGGTTCTGACGCAACCCCAGAGCCTAAGTGTGGTACAGATGGGCTGGCACGGGGGTTGAAAATGGGGGACAAGGAAAGGCAGGGTGTTTCCTGCAGCCTTCCCCCAGCAGTATCTGAGTGTTAACTATATCCTCCCAAGGTCCCAGGTATCCCTTTCCTGGAACCCCTGGAGCCCCTCTTCCCTGAGTCCTGGTCCTAGAGAGATGAAGGAAAGAAAAATGTCAAGGGAACAGACTTTCAGTCCTACCCACCTCCCCACCTTCCCTCTCTTCCCCTCTCTTCCCCTCCAGCCCCTATCCAGTCTTCACAGCAGTTTCTGGCTCAGTAAAAAATTCCTAGGGCCTCTGGAAGCCCCCCATGTCCCAGAAAGCCTAACAACTCCCTTCTGACATCTTCCACCACAAATTGGTGCTCCAAGCCTTCCCACCTCCACGGGGCTACCTGCTGTTGCTGCTGCCACTGAATCCAAATGGGTCTCCAAATGAACAGGTGTTGGGACTCCCAACACAAAAGAATATCAGGCTGCCTGGCCCCTCCCATCCTTAGCATCCTCCAAACTCCGGAAGCTTCCGCTACCTGCCTCTTAAGTGTCTTCTAAAGGGCGCCCCGCCCTCCTGCAGGCTCCCACCTTCCAGCTCTGACCCCAACTGCCCCTCCACAAGGTAGGAAGATCACACAGCATCTTTCCACACCGCTGACCCTGAGGTTCCTCTTCCCCGAGGGAATGCACCTGCCGCTCTAAGCTAGGATCCCCTTCCTCCTCGGCTCTGGGGACACCCACCTCCACCCGGCTCCCACTCTCCAAAGGATGACCTGGTGTCTCCCATTCTCCACAGTGGGAACTTGGACCCAGGGTCATCACATCCCGACAGTGGCATTTGCTGCCCTGCCCCTGAGTTCGCACCCGCCCACAAAGGGGCACTGACCGGGGGAGCCTCCGCCCCACAATGGGGTCTCCCACTCCCCAGCGCGCAGCCGCTCGCCCGCCACGCGCGCAGCCCCTGGCCCCGCCGTCCCAGGACTGGACAGCGCCCTCCGGCCGCTCCCCGCCGCCGCCCCGGGACCCTCGCAGCCTCTCCGCACGCCCGGCTGGGTACCTCACTCCCAGGGGCTTCCGAGACCGTTCGGGCGATTCTCCCCTTTCTCCCGCACAGACACACACTCTTCCCCCTCGGCCGCCCCCGCCGGAACTTCCGTTCGAGTCCCGGGAACCCAGCCATCGCGCTGCCGGAAGTAGCCTGGCCAGCAGTACGGAACCCGGAAGCAGGTCCGGGTTTCCCGGCTAGAAGCTGCCATGTTGCCCACAGTGGGACCACTCCCTGTGATGCGTTGCTGCCACCTGCAGCGTCTGGACATGACATAGGATTTCCAGATGCCTGCCAGCCAAGCCCTTCTAGCCGACTTGCGTCCTGGCGGAGAGGCATTCCACTTCCCATCCCCATAGGGCAGGGCACACTTCCAGGTGTGGTCTTGGGTATTAACCACTGGTTTTATTAAGATACATTTTACTGCTTATGTCTCCAGCGCACAGTATTGTATACATATATAGTAAAATGGTTACTATAGTGGAACACTTCAACATCTCAGAGACTGGCTTCCTTCACAAAACTTGTGAATGCTTTTTAACTACACACCTCGTACACTTTAGATCTGTCTTCTTGTTCATCTTTCTTCTTGCTCATCCTCCATATTGGTTTTCAAGCCCTATTTCAGTTTCATAGGGTCATGGATGCAGTCATGCACCCTGACCTGAAAAGACCTGAGATCACACAGTACTCCAACGCTTATCTTTACAGACGAAGAAACTAAGGCTTGGAGAAAGGAAGTAAA